ACTACAATTTAATAACAATACATATTGTTGATACTCTGTCTGTGTTCGGTGTGTTGTTGCTATGCGACTGGTAGCTGTCCATGTTAATATATGATACTATATGACTTATAAGGCACTCATATGTGATATTTACGACATTATAACGACATGTACTTGACAGGTACTGTCGGGTGTGGATTGCGACACTATGGTAAATTTCGGTACAATGGTGATAGACGGCGATTGTGATACAATCAAGTCATGTGGAAAGTCAAATGGTGACTATAGCACAGGAACCACGACCGCTCCAGGAAGGGTATGTATTCAATAATGCATATACTTCATAGTCGATTTGTATACACCTCATCACTGACAATATGTGAGCATGTAATATCGCGATGGCTTTGGTATCCTTGGCCACATTTGCCAATATGCTTGATATTGTAGCACACACATATTTCAGTATATGCTTGATAAGACTTCGGATGGTTATCAAGTGATGGGAAAAACGCTTGGCGAATGTTTTGATTTAAGATCCTCTCTAAGAGATCTGCTTCCTAATACCATATGATATGTCACAAGAGCTCATTGATTGACCCCAATTTGAGGCTCGAGAAGAACAACACACATACATTGTGCATACGTACACTCATCTGTCGCCTGATTCGCAGAAAGAAGTCGTGCTAGACTCAAAGATCGTTGTATAGGCTAGCCATTCATACACTGAGTGCCTACGTACACACCATTATAGGGACAAGTGCAAAAGGTAATACTAGGTACTATCACCTAGCAGTAGCAGGTTCATTATAGTACAGCTCTGCGCAAAGCGATCTCTGACTTACAAGTTATTGCATTGACATGTCAAACTCTTTTGCTTCATCCTTGGATCAAACATCCAGACACTGGATGATGGGGCGGTGGACAACGCAACGCTATGGATAACAAAGAAAGACCGATCGAGAGATAAGAAGTCTCCTCCTAAAGCAGGTACTTCAGTCCCAACTGTGTGTACGCGGGTTTGCCACGGCTTAAGTGGTTGTGCTGGCATAGGTATTCCCGATGACCTAGATGGCATAAGGTTCGGTACAAACGAAGCTCACGCGTGCAACTTCATGGTGTCATGTATGTCCCGTATACTCATCAAATGTGTTGTCCTTCTTCCGTTCTTGTAGAGTGCACTTACACGGGTTGCAACTCGAATGCACTCTGACTAACAGTAACTACGCGTCGACCGAGACACGATTGTCGACACTGCATTTCTGACTCGATTCGGTTTGAGTGAAGGCGAAGCATTACTATGACTAATTGAGCGACAGAAATAGCACAAGGCACAACTCAACCCTGCAGCAGAGCAGCTAGTTTGGGCGAGTGCTGGGGTTTGGTATAACATCTATCCACAAGCTGTATTAACACACCACACCACACCAACCGCTTGCAGATAAACAACCTGCCTTCCTGAATCGACCGTTGGCGTTTGGCGATCACAAACCCAAATCAGCAAAGAAAGTCCCCCCGCCACTCACGCCGCAGGAGCAGGTTTGTTGCACTGCGCGAGCAACTGTGAATACAGTATTAGTATGGGCTGACCAGGGTATAATCATCAAGTGAGGATACAGTCTTAGTATGGGCTGGCCAGGGTATTATAACC